TTAGGGAAGTCAAAGGGGGTCTTTTGATTGTGGATTTCAATATTTTGATAGCTAAACCTTGGTGGTCAGCCTCAGGAGGAGAAAGTGGCCAAATAAGGGAATAGACCTTGGTGGCTATTAGGAATGTAATCTAATGGTTAGCAAGGAAGAAAGGATGGGGGAAGGGCAAAGCCCTCCATGTTTGCCATGCTCTGGCCTGCTAGAGCCCTTTCAGGACTCAAACTCTGATCCTCTGCAAACACAGCCAGTGCTCTTAACCTATAGGCCATCTCTCCAGCTCCCCCTCCTCCCTCTTAAAGGCGATTGTGGATGGAATTGTTAGCCTGATTGTTCAGTATGTCTGTCTTTGATATTTAGTGATTTGGGGCATGTTAATTTTGTAACCTGCCATTTTGTTGAAAATGTTTGTAAGATCTAAGCATTTTCTGTGGCATCTTTGGGGTCTCTCATACACAGAATCATATATCATCTGTAAATATGGATACTTTGACTTTTTCTTTCCTATTTGTGTCCCTTTTATTTCTTTCTCTTGTCTTATTGCTGTAGTTAGACTTCAAGTTCTATATTGGATAGAAGAGAGTGTGGACACCTTTGTCTTGTTCCTGATCTTAGTGGGGAATGCTTTGGGTGGTGTGTTATATAGAGCCTATCATTTTAAAACATGTTTTCTCTATTCCTAGTCCCTTCAGGGCTTTTATTTTGAAGGGATGTTGGAGTTTATGAAAGGCCTTTTCAGGATCTATTGAGGTAACCATATGATTCTCATCTTTAGTCCATTTATGTGATGAATTGTATTTATTGATTGCTGTGTGTGGAATCACTCTTGCATGCTTGGAATGGAGCCACCTTGATCAGAGTGTGTGATCTTTTTGATGTGACATTGAATTGGGTTTGTACTTTATTGAGATTTTTTGCGTCTATCGTCATTGGGGAGATTGGGCCTATAATTTTCTGTTTGTTGTGTATTTATCTGGTTTTTGTACTTAAATAAAACTGGCATCCTAAAAAGAATTTGAAAGTGTTTCTTTCCTAATTTTAAAATTTTGCTTATTTATTAGCATGGGGTGTGGGTGAACATAAAAACAAGGGGACAACTTTTTAGGTTCTCTCTTACCACCTTTCTGTAGATTCCAGGACCTGTAGCAAGGACCTATAGCTGGTGAGTCATTTACTGGCACCCTTCCTTTCAGTTTTGTGACATAACTTCATATTGTTATTCATTCTTCTTTTTGAAGACATGGTAGGATTCTATATTGGATTCACCTAGCCCAGGCCTTTTTTCAGTTGGGAGATTTTTAAAAAAATATTACTACAATCATGTTGCTTGTCATGCATCTATTTAACTTTGGTAGGTAATTGTCTTAGAGTTTCTTTTGCTGTGAAGAGACAGTGACAACTCTTATAAGGAAAACATTTAATTGGGGCTCACTTACAGTTTTAGAGGTTCAGTCCATTGTCATCATGGCAGAGAGCATGGCAGCATGCAGGCAGACATGGTGCTAGAGAAGGAGTTGAGAGCTCTACGTTTTGATCTGAAGGTAGCAGAAGGAGACTGAGTGCCACCCTGGGCCTAGCTTGAGCATATGAGACCTCAAAGCCTACCACAACAGTGACACACTTTCTCCAACAAAGCCACACCTACTCCAACAAAGCCATAACTCCTAATAGTGCCACTCCCTATGGGCCTATGAGGGCCATTTTCTTTCAAAACACCACAATCATAATAATCTAGAACAGTGGTTTTCAACCTATGAGTTGTGACCTCTTTGGGGTTCAAGCAACCTTTTCACAAGGCTCGCATATCAGATATCCTGCATATCAGATATATTCATTGTGAGTCATAATAGTAACATAATTACAGTTATGAAGTAGCAACATAATAATTCTATGGCGGGTTGTTACCACATGAGGAACTGTATTAAAGGGTCTTAGTGTTAGGCAGTTTGAGAACCACTGCTCTAGAGAGTCATACACTTCTGTTAGATCTTCCAGTTTAAATGAGTTTTACTCATTAAAACACACCCTAATGATTTTCTGATCTCCTCTGTCATGTGGTGTCTCCTTTCTCATCTCTGACTTTGTACATTTGGGGCTTCCCACCTTTCTTCTGGTTAATTGGCTGAGGGTTGGCCGGTCTTGCCTTTTTAAAGAACCAACTCTCTGCTTCATTGATTCCTTATATTTGCTTCATTAGTTTCTCACCTGATATTAATCACACCCTGAGCTTTTGACTCCTCTTAGGGCCTTCTAGGTCTGTGGTAGAGCACAAACCTTGCAAGAATTAAGCCCTTGGTTCAATCACCAACAGGGGTAGGGGTGGGTGAGGGCTGTCAAAAAAAGGATGAACAACAGCAAAAAAATCCCCCTACAAACAAAAATAGAATAGTTATTCCTTTGTGACTGGATAATTGTATTTCCCTTAGTATAATGTCCTCAAAGGTCATGCATGTGATAGCATGTGTCAGAATTCTCCTCTTTAAACTCTGGCTGAGCTGTGTCTCCATGCCTGCCACCGCGGACACCTTGTCTATTTTGTTATTGGGTTGGTGGCTGGAATTTTCTTGTCTTGTCAGTTTCTCACTGATGCATACTGTTTTCCTCCTTGCTCACACAGAGAGAACTGAGGCTCTGGGGCAGAGCATCTTGGTACACCCTCAGAAGACTTACACCTGCCTGAATCCTTCCAGATACATCATTGTGGCAAGTGCTCTGCATCTGCAGCTACTGCCTGGAGAGTCATGAAGCAGACATGAAGGGAACCCTTGTTGACAGGATTCAAGAAGACAGCAGTCAGTACAGGTTACCTCAAGACCAAGTTCTCAACACAAAGGAGATTTATTTGTCCCAGAAGGACAAGGGCGGGTAATAAGAGACAAAGACAGGAGACAGAGGACCAAGAAGAAGGGAAAAGGAACAGGGGAAGAGTTACAGGATATTTGACCTAGAGGGACAAAGGACTGCCTCTGGATAGAGAGGAGACAGACATTGGGCCATAGGCAATAAATGGCAGTTTATAAAGAGAAAAGGGGAGACTCTATGTTTTAATTGACCATGTTAATTAGGTGAGTCAAAATAGGCTTTTGATTGAAGGACTTTAATACTTTGGTAGCTGGACTTTGGTGGTCATCCTCAGGAGAAGGGAATGGCTAAATAAGGGAATAGAACTTGGTGGCCAGCTTTAGGAAGGAAGAGGGAATGGGGGAGGGTAAGATCTGCTAGAGCCATGTTTGCCAACCTTAGGTAGGCTTTGATGTTTCAGATGTTCAAGCCGTGCCCAGTGTTTTGCTCTTTTCCTGCTGCCTGCTTATCCAGATGTAGAACTCTCAGCTACCTTTCCAACACCATGTCTGCCTGCATGCTACTCTACTTTCCTCCATGACAATAATGGACTGAACTTCTGAACCATAAGCCAGCCCCAATTAAGTGTTTCCTTGTAAGAGTTGCTGTGGTCATGGTGTCTCTTCACAGCAAAAGAAACCCCAAGACAGTATGAGGACCCAAAAAAGGGTTTGGACCTGTGAAGAATTGAGGAGCCCAACCCCAGGGAGCCCCCATATTACCTGACTCTGTTTCCCAGCTTCCCGTGCAGTCAGGACACCCATGTGACTGAGTCCTACTAAGGACACATGGCACAATGGGTGCACACTCTCTCCCACCATCCCACAAGCCTCCCTTCCCTTCCATGGAGAAGTTCAGACCCTGGAGGAGGGCACAACCAGGAGAAGGAAGGCTCTATGTCCCTGGGAGGCTGTCTATTGATCAAAATGTTGGATGTGCCTATATGAGAAAGAACTCTTCTATTGAATGAACATTCTGTGCCTAGCTCTGGACCTGGGGGCAAGCAATGATCTTATGCATGGCCAACCAGGTCAGTGGGGGACTGGGGACAAATTCCCAGCTTTTCTGTTCGTATTTGTGTAGCTGCCCCCCCCATCAAGCCTTGTATCCACCCATAGGGTGACCTCATACAAGTCTCTTTATATTTAAATGTCAAACCTTCTCCAGCAAATGGCACAGGTTATGGTGACCCATCCTATTTTACAGCGGCACAAATGACAAGGAACCAAGACAGACACTGTTGGTGAACATTTATTTTCCCAGAAGTAGGAGAGGAGGTGGGTCTCAGGGCACTTGAGGCTCTGTGCATAGAGAATGGGTAGACTGATGGTGCTCCTGGTTGGCAGATGTTCCTCCTGGGTTCTGGAAGGACATGAGCCCTGGACACAGCTGTGGCTGCCAGTGTCAGTTCCGATGGCTTGGATTGAGCCCTCCTTAGTCCCATCTTCTGTCAGCTGAGGCTCAGAGAGGTAAAACATTGTCCTCAGGGTCACACAATTCAGTCACTCCAGAGGAGCAAGCAGCTTTATTCCCCCACCCCCAGGACACTGCTGTCCCCAGCACAAATGGATCTTAAATCTTTGGCCTGGTCCCAACCACCCAAGAATAATTCCCAACCAAGCTCTTTAACTTAACTATGCCGCCCACTGACATTACCACAATCAACTGTTTTCTGAGGACAAGAATGTATGGCCCTCCCTGACCCCAGTCCCCAAAACTCTCCAGTTCATCTGTTTGGCCTGCTACATATTTATCCTCTTTTCCTCTATAAATATAACTATAGCTTATAATACCAAGCCATGGTAGTCACTGACACCATAGTGTGAATTTGATTATCAGCAATTCAGTCAAGTAGTCAGGAGAAGTAGAGTGAGGAAGAAAAAGTAAAAGACCCCAACATATGGTTAAAGAGGGATAGAAGGTGATTCTCATAAATTTAGGGTTTCACAGTTGACTTATATAGCCCCTTTCTAACAACCCGAGTCTCTGTGTTAACAATAAACGGTCCTGTATCCAGGGATGGGGGAAATATTACTTTTATTGATGGAGTCTGCAGCTCCTTTCGGAATTCTGATTCTGCCCCTTGCTCCTGTGCTCCCTACCCCATGCCCCTGTGTCCCCTGCCCTACACTGGAGGCCAAGAGATAGGAGGAGCTCTGGTGGGGACCTTGGCCTAACCGCAGGGCCTGGTGGGCCAGCATGAATCCCTGAGGATTCTACTGAGAGACGGTAGAGGCTAGGTGGGTGCCCACTGGGATTGACTGAAGCCTGCGAGTTGAGGGGCACTGGACCAGTGCAAGTAGCATGAATAACATTTGAGTATCAACAACCTCCAGGGAAGTGGAATTGAGTAGCACAGACTTGAAACATTTTGGTCTTCCCTAGACTGGGGAGAGGGAAGATACCAGATCTGCAGGACCAGGACACCAAAGCAAGGGCTGCGGCCTCATCTAAAGCAGTGAGGAGGGGATTCTGGGAAAGGGTGGGCCTGAATGTGCTCCCTCAGCTGCCATATTGGAAGAGGATGGGTTAGAGAGGTTGGAGGGGAGGTGGAGGGACAAGAGGCCTGACAGAGTGACAGCCCAGGGCATGGTGGTGAGCGAAGGCAGCATTGTTGGCAAGGCTCTTGCTGGGATGGCAATGGGATAGGGCTTGCTGAGCCTTCCTGGAGAGACCACGCCCATGGCCATCAGGCTCTCTTCAGTAGGCCAGCTTATGGATAATCCTCTTCACCCAGGGCAGTCTGGGGTCAGCACAGATATCCCGGTTCTTGATGGTTATCAAACTGAAAGAGATGCCAGGGAGTAAGTAAGCATTAGTAGGCTAGTAGCCACAAGGACTCTGGAGCTGGCCTATCGGATTGGATTCTAGCTTTGCTCCTTGTTAATAAGTTAGGTAACTTCTCTGAGCCCTGGTTCCCATATCTGTAAAATGGGGTGGCAGTCTTGCCCAGCTGCGTGAGATTTTGATGAAGCTGTGATTATATATTCTGACCTGCAAGAGCTATAGCACTATATGATTGTCAGAAGATGGCCTCAACTTTTTACATTGGTTTCTCTCTCTCTCTCTCTCTCTCTCTCTCTCTCTCTCTCTCTCTCTCTCTCTCTCTCTCTCTCTGTGTGTGTGTG